TGCAGGCCATACAGTGAAGTAGTTGCTTGGTGAGGACCGCCAAATGTTGAGACGGGCTCAATTTGGGCAAATTGAAAAGTAACTGAGGCCTAGTTGACACTGCAATGGCATGGAACTGAAAACAAAACAAAAAAACCCCCATCATTTTAATTTTATTTGTCTAGGAAATTATGTATAGAAACTGATATAACTTACTCAATTTCTAACTTTGTAATTATAGCTTCAGTGACTTGACATATATACTAATTTCTAACTTTTCCTTGGCTAATTTCAGTACTTTTTCTTTTCCTAAAAATCAGTACAAAATAAATGAGTAGGCAACCTATTTTTCAAGTTTCAAGAAACAAGACTACATATTTAAATAAGAAACTAAGAAACTTCAGTTATATTTACAATGTGAAGAAAATCCAATGGTGTGGCTGTGTGAAGATCCCAATTCAACTTATCCAGAATAATTCTCTCCATTCTCAGAATTTCAGATGAGGAACATCCACAGAAACTGTCTCTTGCCAATACTTTCAGTACTGGAATTCTCTACCCAAAACAAAGGAAAACAGACACACAGGGAAGAGGACAAAGAAATAAACTCATTTTCAATTTTTGTTTTCGCAAACCAAAAGCACATTAATCAATGGGGAGAAATTTTCACAAAAGAAACATAACCAATCTTGAAAGGATTTATTACCTCATCTTCCTCAACAGTCTTGGCAGCTAGGAAAAAACAGCTGATTGCAATACAACTCAAGTATTTTGGATGGGCCTAAAATTTTGAAGAGGGGGAAAAAAACTTTAGAGATTTTTCAAAAACGATTAAATTTTTATAACTGTTTTTAAAGATGAGATATGCAGATGAGATGTATACACAATTCCACAGAATTCAACTGATTCCCACCACTGCTTTCTAGATCAGAGCTAATTTTTAACATTACAATCCTAGCCATGTGATAGTCTACGAAAATATTTCATTGCTCAAAGTTCAATTAAAGCCAGTTAGCCAAATTTCTATCCAGAAGAGCTTTTTAGAAGTTTTTAATAATATTCCCAATTTTTAAAAATATATACTTTTGTGTGTTAAAAATTTTTTTTTAATTTAATTTTATTTTTTTACGTAAAATAACTAGATAACATAACATATACAAGGCTGTTAGGAGGATCAAGAGAAAAAAGGACTTATAAAAAAAGCTATTAGTATGCTTCAAATACTCTAAAAATCAGTATCAGGGAGCTAGCAGATGAATAAAAATTTCTTAATTAAGTGTCCACAGAAACCTATATTCAAGTCTAACACTGAAAAGATCCTTAAATCCGATACAAATCAGTTAGGTCGGAAAAAGAATATCTCTTTGGAGTTGATCATAACATAAGAGGCTCGAATCTCGCCCTACCTATAAGACGAGCGCTCATTTTCAGTGTGTTTGCTAACACAGCACCAGAATCCAGTTTTCTACAATTAGGACAATGTAGTCCAAGTTATACTGAATGACACAAACGCAAATTAAATTAATACACAAAAACACCAGCGAAACCTGTTTCAATATTATGTTATACTTAAATATTACATTCCCTTAGCATTGTGGAATTCTGATGACCAGAGTTATGGTCTTGATTATCACTTTAACAAACATAGCTTGATCATTTAATAAACATGGCAATAACAAACTATAAGGTGACATACACTATAGGAATCTTCCGAATCCTCTGTCCACATGACATAAAAGTTCAATACTATCAATATTTAAAAATTTTAAGTATTAATCAGAGAGCATTATGATTGTAGAAGGCACTTCCATTAAATAGCATCACATCTGTTATGCCTTATTTCACAGGTGAGAAAACAGTCTCAGGAGGTTAAGAGACAACACACAGGTGATCTAGGAAATGAAATTAATCTGGCTGCCAGTACAGTTTTCCAGGTCCCTATTTTCCATGCATGCCAATAACGCAAAAGCCACATCCCTCAGGTAATCTGAGTTCATTACAAAAAAAAGAGCCTAACAGTTAACAACTTTGGGTAAGCAATACAACGCCTAATTAAGAATAAATTCAGTCTGGGAGGCCCAAGACAGAGCGATGGCTTGAGGTCAGGAGTTCGAGACCAACCTGAGCAAGAGTGAGACCCTGTTTCTACTAAAAACTACAAAAATTAGCCAGACATTGTGTGTGGCTCAGGAGCTGAGGCAGGAGGACCGAATGAGCCCAGAGTTTGCGGTGCAGTGAGCTATGATGATGCACTGCCACTCACCTGGGGTGAATGATACTCTTTCGTCAAAGAAAAAAAAAAAAAAAGGAATAAATTTAGTAATTAAAAAAAAAGCCAATGTGTGCTTTGTTTTTTTTTTTTTTTTTAAACAAACAGTAGTTCTCATTTCTGGCTATTAGAATCATTTGTGTAATTTGGTTTTGCTTCTTTAAGCACAACAGCTCTCACCCACCACAGGTTCAGATTCAGGAGGTCTGAGACAGGGCTCAGATTCCATACATTTAAAGAGCTTCATAGTGATTTCTTCTGCACAGCGAGGATTCAGGCTCCATTCATTGTTATAGCCCTTTTATAGTCTGCTTTAAATGCCTTTATTAAAGCCATAAATACATTTTAGATTATTTAATATAGATTAACCATCTGTAAGTAAGAGTTTCTAATGTTACGAAAACATGACCTAATAAATAAGACATGAAAAAAATGAAATTTCCCCAAATTTGTTTAAAATGTTTAATAAACATGTTAAGAATCTCTTCTGGCTGGGCATAGTGGCTCACACTTGTAATTTCAGCACTCTGGGAGGCCGAGGAAAGAGGATCACTTAAGGCCAAGGAGTTCAAGACCAGCCTGAGCAAGAGGGAGACACCTGGTCTCTACAAAAAATGGAAAAATTAGATAGGTGTGGTGGTACATGGTTGTAGTTCCAGCTACTTGGGCAACTGAGGCAGGAGGACTGCTTCAGCTCAGGAGTTTGATGATACCACTGCACTCTAGCCCAGGCAACAGAGCAAGACCCTGTATAAAAAAAAAAAAAAAAAACAAACCTCTTTCATCATAGAAGCTATAACAATAAGCTCATTAATAATTCTTGAAGAATATATAACCCAGGAAAGGACACTAACTGTAAGCTCATCTTTCTGTGGAACTATCTGTGGAAGGGTGAGTTAGCTGTGGCAAATAAAGAGGGAGGAGGGATATGGACGAGTTGCTGAGATGAAAGTAGGCATTCCCAGAAAACCCAGATTTCAGGCAATTAGCATCATAATTAAGGATTCTTTTAAGTCTCTTAAGAGGGAAAAAGTTTGGAACATAACTAAGTGGCTATCCAAACTTACACTCCTACACTCCTTAAATTCTTTGGCTTCTACTTTTTATACCTAATAACCAAGCATTTAATTCAGTTCCCCTAGTTTACATATTCCTAAGCAAACAAATGCCTAGGCTGTATTCTTAGGCATACAGCCGAATCACTTTTCTACTTTTTTCATGACTTGCCATAAAATAAATGCTGCTTTAAAAATGCTGAGAGCCAACTAATTTTTTTTGAGACAGAGTCTGTCTCACTTTGTTGCTCAGGCTAGAGTGAGTGCTGTGGCGTCAGCCTAGCTCACAGCAACCTCCAACTCCTGGGCTCAAGCGATCCTCCTGCCTCAGCCTCCCAAGTAGCTGGGA